TGGCCGGGGCGGGAGGCCAGGGCCCTCACCCTGGCCTCCCGCGTCTCGCAGGACAAGAAGCTGATCCAGGCGCTCTTCGACGTGCTGGCGCACCCGCAGAACTATTTCAAGTACACAGCCCAGGAGTCGAAGGAGATGTTCCCACGGTCCTTCATCAGACTGCTGCGCTCCAAGGTGTCCCGGTTCCTGCGGCCCTACAAATAACACTGGTGCAGCCGCCCTGCTTGGGGTGCCGGCTACCCGGGGAGGAGAGAGCGCCTCCCCTCCACAGTCGAAGCTAAAGGCGGCTCCGCGGGCCTCCACGCTGCCTTGGGAATTGCCGTGGCGTCTGCCCTTGAGGAATCGCCGGCCAGCCCGTGGCGGGCGAGACCACATCCAGGCAGAGACCCCAGCCCGGCTGCACTCCTCTGATGCTGCCCCCGTGGGAAAACATTGCTTAAGGCAGCCTTTCTTGCTCCTTCCAGGACACCAAGAGCGCCCTGTCCTGAGCTGGCACCCGCGGACGCCACCCGGACCCAGGACGCTCGGCCACCACCCGGGCGGGTCCCGGGCAGAGCTGACCTTTGGAGGTTGCACGTGCCCTCTGCCTGGTGCTTCAGGGGAGAGAGGGGCATGGCTGCCATGTCTCAGGGGGGCTCTCAGAGGCAGAATCCAAGACAGGAGGCCAGGCCGTGGAAGCAGGGGTGGTGAAGGCTCGTCTGGGGGCTGTGATAAGCCGGTATCGATGCCGGCAGGGCGTCCACACCCGCCAGCTCCTCTGGCCGTGGGCCCAGGACACGGGCGAGTGCGGTTGGGCTCTCAGGATTCTGTGATGGGACAGAAAAGAGGTGCTGGGAGAGGAAAATGTAGATTTCTGCTTTCCCGTGATAGAGCATCTAATTAACTACTATGTGTATATGAATATAAAGATAAAGATATATATACTTCTATCTGTGGGTACTTTAGGAGAATTCTCTTTAGCAACTGTAAATATTAATCGCCACCCCGTCTCCTCCCAGCTGTCGCTGGCTTCCCTGACTGATTAAACTGCTCCTCCAAGCACTTGCCACGTCTGTTTACAAAGGCCGGGAGCCTCCAAGACCGGGGGTGAGGCAGGTCGGCCCTGGACACGCGGTGGAGTACGAACGCTTGGGGGACTGGACTCCACGCTCTGCCAGCGTGTTGCCCCCCAGTGGAATGCAGTGGAAAGCAGTGTCCCTTCGGACCCCTTCCTGGGGTCACAGGGCCCAGTGGTAAACTTTAGAAGGGGCCTGTGTCTGACCCGAGGCCATGACCGTGGACTTCAAGCTGAGGACGCTTGCCACCGGAAGGCAAGGCTTTGCCCCCGTGAGCACAGGCTGTGCTGAGCACCGGGGCCCAGGGAGGAAAACGGGCCCCGGGACGGGGGGCCGCCCCCAGGCAGAGGCAGGCCGGCTGTCGGAGGCCCAGCTTCCAGTGCAGTCTTCATTCTGCTGCACCCTGTGGCCTCCCTCTCAGAGTCTCTCTGTAAAGAAGCAAAGTCTGGAGTGTGACCGGGCTGCACCGTGTCCCGCTCAGCCAGGAGCCAGGGCCTGGGATGGAGCTAGCGAGGACCTCCGACAGGCCGCGGCCTCGCCCACTGCCACGCTGCTGCTGCCACCAGCCGCGGGACACGCAGACGCTCTGTGGCTTTAGGGTTAACAGACGTTCAGAATCCCAAGGAACACGGGTGAATCTTCAAACGAACTCCCGTCACCCATTCTGGTCGCCTCTAGGTGGTTTCCTCCTCGCCCCAGACCCACGCATGCCACTAGGGACGAGCACGCCCTTTGAGAACGGCTGTGGCGCCGAGGGCATGAGGCCTGGAGGTCCCGGGCTGGGTGGTGAACAGGTCAGGGTGGATTTTACAGTCCACAGCGGGGCTCTGCGCTCAGGATCTCCTCACCGCCGTTACCTGCGTCCTCAGCGGCGGGTCCCCAGCTTGACTAATGCTGCCGTCAGCACCTTCTCTTCCAAAATCCAACTCAAGCGGGGAGGGCGCTGCACTTGGTCGGTAGCTCAGTGTCAGCTGGGGAGCCCCGTCCAGGCCACACTGCCCCTCCCCTGGTCACAGTCCTTGAAGGCCAGTCAGTCACAGTTTCCAGAAAGAGGCCTGTCCTCTGCGTCAAGCCCCTGGCCCTCCCCAGAAATTAGGTGTGTCCTCCAGAATCAGGCCCCAGCAATAGCTACCCAGGCGAGGGCACTGGGAAGGGTTTTTGGTTTGGGGGGTTGTTTTTAATGCTCTCAAAAAGGATTTTTTTTGATCCAGAGGGGACCAGAAAGAGCTCTCATCTCTCTTGAACACTTTCTGCTGCTCCTTTGGGTGGTTTCTGGCAGTTGCCACCCACATACCCACTAACCTACCCACCCTTTCGGTGGGTCCACCCCGATCCACGGCTCTCGCCACCACTGTGGTCAGACCGTGCCCCATGTCTCCCGGGCAGAGCAGGACGGGGCAGTGCGGATGTGGGCCCCGCGCCGTCTCGAGTGCCAGGGAGCCCGCAATCCAAATTCGCCAGCCGCCCGCTGTCACCATCCAGCCCTCCCTCCCCAGTAAAACCACCTGCCGCGCCATCAGGGGACTCAAAGTCCAGGGGTGGGGTCTTTCCTGAACCTCGTCAGCCCTCAGCCCCATGCTGGGGACCCTGGGGGTCCCACTTATTAAACGCAGAGCTGTCGCCACACTTTGGGGCCTGGTGGTCCCAGGAGATCTACCCGGGCAACAAAGCTTGTTTCTTCGTGTTTCCGTGTCGTGGACGCAGGTGGTAGATTGGCTGACACAGGTGGCTATTCCACCTGGCTCCAGGTGGCGGTGGAGAGAAAAGGGAAGGCGGACAAGGACTGGCCCAGGTAGGGCCATCCCTGCGGTGAGTCCTGAGGAAGGACAGAAGCCGAGACAGGAGTGTAGAAGGCCTGAGCTGCCCAGGGGCTGAGCCAGAAGGAGCACATCCCACTCCTGGATGGGACGTTGGCCTTGAGCAGCCACAGACCCATCCCAGCCAGGGCCTGCCTGGCACGGACCCTCAGGGGCTAGCCAGTTGATAAACTCCAAGGAAAGGAGCTAAGCAACACATTTCTGGAAGCAAAAGCCTGCCCGCTGGCCAGGGCTGAAAGCAGGCGCCAAGGCCTGGCGCCTCTGATGAGCTTGGTTCTGGCCCAGCAGAGCATCAGGCTGGGGCGACCGGGGCAGCTCTGCAGAGATGGCAGTGGAGACTGAGGGACCTCTGCCCTGTGGGCTGGGCACCTCCTGGCACACTCTGCTTCCATGGAAATGCGCCCAGGAAAGGGAAGAAATCGGCTCAGGTCTAGTGGCCAAGCCCTCAGGGAGGGAGTGTTGAAGTCGCCTCATCTGCTTCCCCGAACCAGGCTCCTTTGCCCCGATTCTGCCTTGCAGCTGCTGCGCGGTGCTGGCCCCCCTCCTCCCCCGGGGCTCTCCGTTTAGGGTCAGACAGCAGGTCCCACCTGCCAGGGGCAGTGGCCTCTTTCCTCAGTCTCTCCCAGCTCTTCACCTCTGTGGTGACAGGCTGGAGGAGGCCGTGGGGCCCGAGGTGGTGGCCTCGGGCAGCTTTCCCTCCCGCCACGCATGGGTTTGGGACACGCAGATAGAGTAGAACTGAGGCCCCAGGCCAAGAAGCTTCCAGAGAGCCCACGGAGACCCTCTTCCCCACACCTCTTACAAACCCACCTCTCCTACCTGAACCCTCGTTCTCCCAGAAACACAGCCAAGGTCACCCCTCTTCCACGACAAGAGGCCCCCCCGCCTGCTGGAGCTGGAGCAGGGGCCTAAGTGACATTTCAGGGGCTGAATAAGACTTCCAGCACCTCCGCCGCCCCAGCTGAAAACTAAGAGACTGAACTAAGTTGAGTCATTTAGCAAACGTTTGCTGAGCACCTACTGTGTGCTAGGCTCCTAGAAAGGCAGAGAGACCATAGCCCAGGGGCTGACAGGATGCCCTGGAAAGTCCTCTGGTCACAGAGATAAAGGTGATGGAGGCCTGGGTGGCAGAGCCCAGTGCTCCCGTCAGAAGGCCATCCCTCCCTCCCGCGCCTCCCAGGACCCCAGGTAGGGGGCAGGGCACCTGCAGGAGGGGCAGAGCAGAGCCTGGTCACCAAGCTACACTTCAAGAAAGACACCTTGAAGGAGAAGCTGCAGCCAGCTGGGCGGAGAGAGAAGCACACAAGCCAAGACTGCAGACCCCGGGAGCCCAGCCAACACGCCCAGGACACCGGTCTCCGCCCTGACGCCTCGCCCTGACGCCTCGCCCGCCGCCAGCACGGGGCACGGTTAGTGCTCCAGAAGGGGGGCTCCTTTCTCGTCACCCAGGGACCGTGGCTGCGTCTGCCTCCTCTACTGCATGCTTGGGGGGTTTGTCAGCCTGGCAAACTGCGTCTTATACCAAGGACCCCTTTCCTCGCCAGAGATACACGTGGTGGCAGCTCAGCCCTTCTGACAAGGGCAACAGCGCCGAGCCGACGTCATTCAGGCCAAAGGCAGAGGGACTCGATGTCTGGGACACTGCCCGTCGCACAGGTGGAGACCGAGCAAGTAGCTGCTGCGCTCTCCCAGGGCTGCCCCTGCCCCTCAGCACCCGCACATCACCTGCAGCAGTGAGTCCTGAGCACTCACTATGCGCCAGCCACACGGCCGGCTGCCTGGCTCCATGAACACGGCACCAGCAGGGGCCCAGGTGACATGGGCGTGGCCGCACACCCCCTCCTAGCAGCCTGCACGGATGACCCCCCCCCCCCCCGGGGGC